ATAGAACCTTCCTCCAACCTTACATCCCTCTAAGCCACCCCCTAGCTGTGTCCCTTCAGAGTCAACCTTCTTCCCCAACTTCCCATCATTCTGCAAACTGGCTACTGCTCAACCTTCCCTTCCCTTCTCTTCCCTTCCCTTCCATCTCTTCACCTTTTCGGACCCAGAATTGATGCTGCATCTTTTGGGAAACCTTTCCTTACTCTCACTTTCCTCCCCACTCACCCAACAGTCTGACAAAGCTGGCTTAAGCATCCCAGAGAGCTTCAGTGACCCGGCTTCATCAGTGATAGAGAATCCCAGTGTTCATCCACATCTGCTCTTTATCTCTTGAGCACAAATGAAGATTATCCTTCTCCACCCTCATGGCAGTTAAGCAGGGCCATGCAACTAGTTCTGGCCAATGGGCTGTGAGCAGAATGTGTGTTACTTTGTGGCCAAAGCACTTAATTATAGGTGTAAGACTTTCAAGGACTTTCCCCCTGCCTCATCAACTGTAGCATCATGCCATGAAGTGGAGATATATGAGGGGGCAAGCAGCCTGGCCACTGTCCTGGAGAGTCGGCCAGACCTGCAGTGGACTTTATGTGACAAGATATAAACTTTCCTTGTGCCATGTCACTGAGATTTGGTGATGTTTTACAATGGCATAGCCAAGCCTGATTTACCCTGATTAATAGTGTTGGTTAAATTAATGGCCTGTAAATATCCATGCACATTTTAGTTATTGGTTATTATTGTCATCAAGGTGCAGCAAGTACCTGGGGGAAGCAGGGACTTCAGCAAGGTGGGATGAACCCTGAGTAGTGTGGCAGCACTGCAGGAGTGGGAATGGGGGTGGAGAGAGGATGAATGGGCAGGCTGTGTCATGAGAGAAAAACTTCCTCTTGTTTATGATCTGCCAAGGGCTTGCCCAGGACCCGCTTACATATTTAATCTCTTATGAAAGGTTATAATGAATCCAATGCTTGAAACCAATGCTTTTGGCAGGATATAGAAATTTCTCCCAGGTATTTAGTTCCTATGGTCCTAGTATTTGTCTCCTGGATTTGCAGGGTTTCTCTCTCTTACACACACACACACACACACACACACACACACACACACTGCTGATCTCTCTGAGAACCTAAAACATTTAAATGTCAAATTGATAATGATCAGATTCATCCTCCAGCTTAATTTTCTCTCTTCATCTTTGAGAATGGTGGGGAAAAAAAAATACAACATGGCTTTGTGTCTGGAGCAAAGAATCTGTTCATCAGTCATCAGATGGGGGTGTTTTCCTGAAGGTCTGAGTGCAGGTTTTTCAGAGCCTTTTCTTGTAAAAGTCTTTTTCTCTTCGTTCAAATATGTCTCCCTCTTCTCCATGACTCTCCTTTCACTCATGGTGCTACAGGGCTAAATCAGCTCTAGTTAATGAATATTCGTAATGCCCTTGTTACCTGAATTTAAGGTGCATGAATGAAATATTATCTAGTTTTCCTCATGTTCCATTATTCACCTTACACATGGCCCTCAATAGATTCCTCTACTTCCCTCCCATGGGCTAGTGAATCTCAGTGGGAAAAGTCGGTGCTTCCCTACCCTTATCGAATGACTCAGTAGGTAAGATGGTACTGGACCAGAGAAGTTTGAGTCCAGGCCTGGACAGTTATTATTTCTGTGTTGTTCATGATGGTCATTCTTTGAGCTTGAATTCCTCTTTCAAATGGAGCCTTTAGCGCAATCTGGTGAGGATTGCCAAGGATCACTCCAGGGGCTTGGGTCAAAGGACAGTATATATAGAGATTAATTGGTGTTTGATTGTCACAGCATAGCACTTCACTGCTAACCGGAAGGTTGGTGGTTCAAAGCCACCAGGCACTCCACAGAAGGAAGACTGGGCAATCTGCTTTTGTAAAGATTTACTGCCTTGGAAACCCAATGGGGGTTGCTTTGACTCAGAACTGACTTGATAGGGTTTCTTTTTTCTTTTTTTTTTTTATTCCAAGAATAAAAAAAAGGAAGGATGGTGTAAAAATGTTCCTGCAGACCTTCCCTTCCTGCTGCATTGTGTTGGGGGAGGGAGTGGTGCAGAGAGGTGGGTTCCTAGGATTGGACGGGGGAGGAAGGTATACCCTGAGATCTGGTCTCTTCAGGGTTTTCCAGTTCAGAGAGAGCAGGGCCACTTTAAAAAAACAAACAAAAAAACCCCCACCACACTCACTGCCATTGAATCTTTAAACTGGGAAGGGATGATTAGGTACTCAAGGACCTGTGGATGCTCTGGGAGTCACATCCAAACATGGGTGACATTGAATTTCCATCCAGACAGCAGGATGGGGGCTTGAAGTCAGATTTAATTGATTTAAATACATCACCGTGAACCATTTTGTACACCCAAGCTTGTGGAGTGAGAGTTCTACTCTTGGTACTCGTGCCCAGTATAAATGCGAGTTCCTGCATTACTTGTCATGCTTCTTCCTCCTGAAGAATTTACCCCTTCACTTGAATTTACCAAAGACTTATTGAGTTTGTAAATATCTCAGTCATGTGAACCCAAGTGGACATCCTCGAAGCTCTGCTGCACTGATGACCCACCATACAAGGTTTGAGGACCACCCAAGTTAGCCTCACAGAAGGGGTTGTTAAAAGTGCGATTCCTGGGCACACTTCAGATGTACAGAAATGGACTTGGGCTAGGTAGAGGGTGTTGGGAATCTGCATTTCAACAACTTCCTCTATGAGAGTTTTACACACGAGGATGTTTGTTCATTTTTGCTCTAGAATGTACTATAGCATCTTCTATTTCCCACTGGTAGTTAAGAGGAAAGATCTGTTGGGGGAGTAGTATCATTGGCTGTAACCAAGTGATTAATTAGATGATGAAACTGATTCTGTTTTGTATCTTGGATTATCTGTTTGTGTCCAACCCTACTCTGGGATATAAACTCACGGGCAGAGAATAGGCACTATGTGCCCTCAACAGTGACCTGCAGAACTTAACTGAAGGAACAAGAAGTGCCTGCTGCCTGCTCAGGGCCAGTCTGATGGTTGCAAGTTGCATCCCCTCTAATCCTCATGGGCCCCTCTGCCCCGAAGTTGGACTCTGTCTGCTCTATGACAGATGTACATGTCACCACAAACTCATGACCAAGTTACATCAGTAGCATAATTATAATATAGTAATAGTCATAACAGGGTGAAGATTTGAGAGGGAAATTAATCTTCCAGAATCTGAAGGTTGGCATTCACTGTTTGTGAACTTGGTTGAAGGCAAAGCCACCAGAAATTTGTTAAATCACATGACAGGGGCCAAGGTTAGTTGCAGGGAATCCTTTTCCAAGAAGAGCTATTGAAAATGCTGAAACTAGCCCCTGAGGTTGCAGAGAGCCTTCCTTCCTGAGTGATATCTTTGGAAATAAGGCTGAGTGTAATGGTGGCTTCCATGAAAACTTTAGTCTTACAGTGGTTTGGCCATTGGTATACTTTTTTTTTTTTGGCTAATCACCACCATATGAGGCTTTGTTGGAGGTTGGCACAGGGACAGTATGCTTCTGGAGGGCTCTTCCAAAAGGACTGGCACTCAAGCTCCTTGAATGACAATGAGTTTTGTGGCTTCCATAGACTGATGACCAGCTGCTCCAAAAGACGTGGCACACCAGGTCTCTGTCCAGCATAGGGTCAATCACAAGGTTAGTCTGGCGGAGCCATGGATGGTTAGGATCGTTTGGGTTCTTGCCATGCCCCCCCCCCACTGCCCACTAAGCATACTCTGGGAAGAGGTTCCAGGATAGTAGAAGGGAGATGAGGTTAAGATCTGTGGGGAATCATGTACTACGGAGATGTCCATGCACTGTGTCACATGAAGTTGGTCTTCAGTAAATAAAATATTTGTTAATGAAAAGCCTCTTTCGTTGGCTTCTAACTCCGAGCCTCTACCACATAGCAGAGGTGTCTCTTATCCCATGCTAGGCCCACAGAGGCCACACACCTATCTGGAGGAAGTAAGAAGAGACTGAGAAAATATATGAATAGAAGCACATTTGAAACCAGGAAAGTCAACCTTATCAGCTTCCAGTATGTGGGCGACAGCTTGTCATCCAGCCTGGTGGCAGTTAGCATTCACTTGCCTTTATCACTTGGTTTGCTGACATCTTGTACTGCCTGTCTTTCATCCTTCTTGGCAGATAGGCTGAAGTCTGGACAGGCAAAACCATGTGATACCTCTTCATATGCTCCAGAAAAAACTTCGGGAGTCGTCTTATTACTCTAAGATGAGGGGTCTTATCCCTACTCCATAAAGGTGGGGGTTTGAGCATTACCACCGTCCCACAGCCCCCAGGTCTTCCTCATGGTGTGACTTCCTCAGGTTTAAGTGCACTCCCAGAAACACAGAGAAAAACATGCAAACCCAAGCATAGATGGGGCTCGGGCTAATGTGAACAGTGTTTGGATGACCCATCTTTGGGGTTTCTTAGCTTCTTCTCTGATACTTGAGTGTGAGTAACTTAGAGGGAACTAGCTGGCAGGACTTTCCAACATGGTAACTTCCAAAATGGCCTCTAGGGGCATGAATCAAGGCTATGAGGAGGAAAGGTAGTCTCCTGGATTCCATGCTGATGTTGAACCCAACTTCAAGAGAGGCTACAGCCAGGCTCTGTGCCCCTTCCCCTGGCCTGGTTCTGGGCCTTAATAGCAGCCCACTCCCTTCTTCCTCTCACCCCTGCTTATCCATAGCAGTTGGGCAGCCTGAGAACAAGAAGGGCAGATATCCCCTTTCCTCCTCCCACTTAGGAGCTGGTAGGGGAAGAAGCAGCAATGGGTGACCAGGTCTGAGAACTCAGCAGTGAGGAGAGCATGGCATGTGGAGGCCCCTTCTAAGGAGCCAGGGAAGACCCAGCCCTCCAGTTCTGTGCACCCCCACCAGCTGGGGTGTGCAGTAGCCCTCAGGAGCCATGGTGGGGGTGCTTTGGGAAGAGGAAGAGGGAAGGCAAAGGATGTCTGGGATTTGCTTTCTTATGACTTGTTAACATTAGTAAATATAGGCAGGTGTATGGAGGCAGAGTCCACTCTCCGGGGTAGGGTGGCAGTCTGAGGCCCAGGGTCAGATGAGGCCGGCAGCCTTCTCCTGCACATTGTATTCTTTGTTCTTCTTCACTCTCCAACCAGTAAAGAAAAGCAACAGCACACCCAGTACTTTGTAGCCCACCTGCAGGCCCAGGTACCTATGGGGCAGGAGGAGACAGGACCAGTCAAGGGAAAGGAGAGCTCTGAGCCTGTGTCCCAGCCCACAGCCCCCAGGAGGTAGCATCATTCCTACTAGCAGTCCAGAGGATGTGTAGGTCATCATCCAGGTGGGAACTGCTTTCTTTGTTCCTGTGACCCAACTGGGTACAAACCTCCTGGGAAGTATGCAGGGAGTAGAGAGGAAGTAGGCATGGCCTCCTAATCCAGTGATCCTCATCCCTCCACTGTGCCCCCTTGAGGGTCAGGCCAGGAGGGTCTTGTCTTCCTAGCAGAGCCAAGGCTTCCAACTGGCTGATGTCCCAGGCCTCTGGAAGCAGAGGCTGCTCAACCAGGGGGAGGAGAGGAGCACCTCTTCTCTGCTCTCTTGTTCTGTTTGTTTCCTGGCCTTCTTGGCCATTCTCCAAACCATTTCCAGCCCCCATGCCCCTCAAGCCCACACTCCCCAGGGTTTCTGTTCTTTATGATGGTAGCAGGTAAGGCGGCTGGAAGGAATGCAGAACTCAGCAGGGTTGCAAATGGGGCTCAGGCTGGCTGAGATAGGGTGGGCCCCTGCCCTCGACCTCTGCCAGGAACTGTGATCGAGAACCCCCAGGCTGGCCTGGCATCATTCTCACCTCCAAAGCCATGGCCTCTCCCTCTGAGCCCTGCCATCCCCTTTCCCTTTGACAAATTTCTTCCTGCTGCTGTCCCTCCTGGGGGCCTGTGAGGACAACAGATTGGGGACTACTTCCAGGGGGTCCTGGGTTTCATTACATGGATGGGTCCCTGTGAGCCTTGAAATGCCTGTTACTGGTGGCCCCTACTCCTGTCCATGAGAGATGGCCCCTTGGGTCCTTGCCTTTGGAAGGCTTACAGCTACTCAGTGGCCACTGGCGCCGCTGGCTGCCCTTTGTTCATCCTGGGCCCTCACCTGTTTCGGAGTGCATCGTTGTCGTAGTAGGCACAGGCCCCTCGCCTCCCTGAGCATTGCAAACTCCACCGGATGCAGGAATAGTCGATGGTGAGGCCGTACAAGGCTGGAGATGGCAGCCAGGCTGGAATCAGTAGGGGAGAGAGTCAGAGAGCTCAGGTCATGTGGTGTGAGGCAGGAGTGGAGTGCCTAGCCACCACCCCCAGCACCCCTAACCAAGTCAGATACATGACAATGGCTCTGCCCTGCCCTGGGTATCACAATGACTTTGGAAAGCAAAAGAGCTTTCAGCGAAGCCTGAATTTATCTTTTCTCAGAAGGCTTAGAAGAGAAAAAGGACCTGGGCCACCTTCCAGCACAGAATGAGTCACAGAGGTCAACTTGATGCCAATTCAACATAATTCCCATGCTTCGAATTGGCCCCAAGTGAAGGTATAACTGAGCTCCACTGTAGGGCAGGAGGCTCTTGAGGACTCTCCTCAAATCTGCACATGGTCAGGCAGGAGGGAGGGGTGCCCACATGTGTACCAAGAAAGAAGGTGAGCTTAGTAGCTAAGACACCCAACGGGGTCAGGGCCGGGCTTTGAACTCTGGTTTACTTGGGTTCAAATCCCACGTTCTCCCACTGCACCAAGCTGCTCTACTGGCTTAGACAATGCCTGGAAGACCTCAACACACTGCCCACTCAGAGCCTCTGCTGCAAACTCCCAGAAATTCTCAGCAGGCCTGATCCAGCAGTGGCTATGCCTTAAATTAAAGTCAAACTAAACCCATGCTGTTGAGTTGATTTCAGCTCCTGGTGACCTCATGAGTGACAGCGCAGAATGGTCCCAGAGGGCTTTCTTGACTGTAGTCTCTACAGAAGCAGATCGCCAGGCCTGTCTTCTGTGTGCCACTATGTGGGTTCAAACCACCAACCTTTAGGTTAGTAGTCAAGTGCAAACTGTTTGCACCAGCCACGGACCTCTGCAAAACCCAAGACCCATTGCTGTCAAGTTGATTCTGACTCATATTGACCCTATAGGAAGAGTAGAACTGCCCCCATAGGGCTTCCAAGGCTGTAAATGTCTAGGAAAGCCACTGCCTCATCTTTATCCCACAGAGCGGTTGGTGGGTTTGAACCACTCATCTTTTTGGTTAATAGCCAATTGCTTTAACCACTGTGCCACCAGAGTTCCCAGGCACCTCCATAGTGACCCCTGTTGGGTTTCCAAGGCAGTAAATCTTTATGGAAGTAGATTGCCCAGTCTGCCTTCTGCAGAGCAGCTCTTGAGTTTGAACCACCAACCTTCTGGTTAGCAGTCAAATGCCTTAGGCACTGCACCACCGGCCTTGACTGCTGTCAAGTCGAATTCAACTCATAACGACCCCTCCTTGGGTTTCCAAGTCTATCAGTACAGAAGTAGTTTGCCCAGTCTTCCTTCTGAGGAGTGGCTGGTGGGTTTGAACCACCAACCTTCTGGTTAGCAGTCAAATGCTTTAGACTCTATGCCACCAGAGCTCCCTTACTAGCTGTTAAATATTTTGAAGATCTCCTACCCTGTATTGTTAGTTATAACTCTAGGCAGTCACTCTGTTGGGGAGGGACTTGTCTTGGATTCAAACCCAGGTTGGGCGGTCCCTGTTCCTAGCCTCTGCTTAGGGCACTGTAAGATGCTGCTTTGGGACTGAATAAGAAAATATTCAGGACATGGCCCAGGCCACGGCCCAGGCCACAAGTGTGAATCACCAAAGAAGCAGCCCCTCTACTTAGACTCTGCTCACTCCAAAGTCTCCAGGTGAACAAGGACCAGAATTGGCCAGTAGGATTAATCTTCATTGGCTTCAAATGGTACGTTGTCAAGTAGAAACTTAAGTCCAGAAAATATTTAACCAAATCTTCATGGGTAATTTAAAGCTTGCTTGAGTTTATAAATACAAAGTCCTTTTATCTACCCCAGGGTGGAATTATGTTCCTGGGTGATGAATCCCTCCAGGTCCAAGTCCCACTTTAAGTTAACTGAGCTCAAATAAAAATCCAGAAGCAGTGGGAGGGAGTCATTGTTTTCAAGGTCATTGGAAGAAGCAGGGCAGGTTCTTCCCAGCCCATCCCAGCTGTTGGTGGGGCTGGGAGGAATGCAAGGTTTCTTTCCTAGGGGGGAGGTTTTTGAGAACATTATAAATGAGGGACAACAAGGAGCTTTGATGGCAAGAGCACCTCACATGAGGACAGGACAGATTCTGCTGTCCTGTGCCCTCTGTTTGTAACACAGACCAGAGAGCAGGCTCTGAAGGGGCTGACCCGGGAGGAGTGGAATAAGTGACTTGAGGCCAAGAAATACCACCGAAAAAAGCTGGTTCATTCCTCATCATCCAAACTTCACCTAACCCGGGCTCAGAGAGGGCCCTGCAAAGACTCCTGCTTGGCTGGTCCTTAGAGGGACTTCACCAACACACCCCATCAGGACAGTGGAAGCTGTTGCAGAGTGAGATGTGGGCCTGGCTCCCCCAGCAATAGTGGGCTCTATAGGGGTTTTAGCGTTTAAGGTCAGAAAGTATACTTGATAGGAACTCAAGCTCCTCTGTTGGAATTTCATATTCCCCTCTGCAGTGAACACTCACACCAGTTGCTGTCGAGTTGATTCTGGCTCAGGGTGACCTCTTGTGTGTCAGAGTAGAACTGTGCTCCAGAGGTTTTCACTAGCTGATTTTTTAGAAGTAGACTGTCCAGTGGTTAAGCGATCGGCTGCTAACTGAAAGGTTGGCTGTTTGAATCCACCAGCTGCTCAGTGGGAAAAAGATGTGGCAGTCTGGTTCCGTTAAAAGATTACAGACTTGAAAACACTCTGGGGCAGTTCTACTCTGTCCTATAGGGTCGCTATGACTTAGAATTGATGTGAAGGCAACTGGTAGATTGTCAATCTTTATTCCAAAGTGCCTGTGGGCGGACTTGAACATCCAACCTTTTAATTGGCACCAAATGCACCAACTGTTTGCACCACCCAGGGACTCCAGCGAGCACTCCCTGGGTCCTTAGTTAATAAATACGTCCTCAGTTGAATTCCTTGAAAATCTTTGCTTTTGGAATAGGTATCTTGTGAGTACAAAATTAAACTACATAATAATAATTAAGCTTTTATTTAACAAGTAAATATTGTGTTCTGACCAAAAAAAAAAAAAAAAAAACCCAAATACACACTGATAATTTTGGGGTAAAAAGCTATTGATTATAACATTTTTAGTTGCAAGATGAATTTCAAGCAATAATTATAATTTAGATTGGTGTTAAATGATAATTATATTTTTCCCCACATAATTTATTTTATGCCCTTTCAGATGATGCAGTCTTGAAGATGAGGAGAAGTCACTTCCCTTCTTTATTAAAAATAAGCTTTTTGGCTTAAAGCCATCTCTAGGTCTCCATATGTGTGCCTCGTGTTAAATCTACTGCTTGGATGTGACAAGAAAGGACAGCACAGCATGAGCAGTCTGGAAAAGAACCTGCAATATGAAATGAGGCCCACTGCAGGCCTTCCTGTCCAGGGTCTGGGCACCTGACCTTTCTACCCAGGAAGAGCTGGGTGTTCCCACCTCCATTTCCGGTAGCTTGCCATCCCTGCGAGTACTGCAGGGCAGTACTGATCAGGTGCACAGATGGAGTCCTCTGATGGATGCTGGGCTGCTTGAGGGCAGGCAGGGTTTGCCAGCAGAGGGCCCACATATAGGAAACATTTGCTGAATTCCAGTAGGAGGAATCATGGGAGGAGTCAATTTTGTAAAATGGGAAGGAAGCCAGGGCTAGGCCCAGCTGCTGTTCTCACCGGGGCAGGAATGCAAGGTTTTGTTCCTACGGCAAAGTTCTTGGAGAAAGGTTTTAAAATACCTGCTTTGAATGCTTTAAGTATACTCAGCTGCATCCACTTTTCATTTTCTTACATAATTTAGTGTGGAATTAATGCCATAGATGGAATCTTTCCTAACCTCAAGCATTCTGGGAAATTGCCCGTATAAGGTATTTAGCATCTGCTGTTGATTATGCACAGCTTGTCTTTATAGCAGAGATGAGAGAGATGGGGCTTCCCCAGCCCTGCCCTGCAGCCTATAGCCCTGTGAAGCCCTGTGACAACTTCTTGTGACAGAAGGGGATCGCAGACACTTACCCAGCAGGCGCATCAGCAAGAACTGTACCCCGATGGCAAATGACTTTTCTTCCTGGTTTACCACACTGCAAAGGAAAGCAGAGGGTGAAAAGGAGGGCTCAGGGCTGCACCACTTCTCAGTCAGGGGCAGCCAGCCTTGGAGCCCTCAGAACCTGCCCTTACGTGCCCTATGGGCCACCTGGCTGATTAGATTCACCTGGGCTGAGTGCTCCTGTTTCTATGTCAGTGGTTCTCCAAGCTTATTCCCAGACCTGCAGCAGGACCTGGGAGCTTATTAGAAATGCACATTCTCAGGTCCCAGCCCAGAGCTGTTGAATCAGGAACTCAGAGGGCAGAGCCCGACTATCTCCATATTAATGAGCCCTCCCGGAGACTCTGATGCGTGCTCAAGTTTGAGACCCCCTGGGCCATGTGATTTTCATGGCTGTCTAGGACCTCCCGGAAGAGAAAAGGCAGGAGGAAGAGGCTGGGAATGGAGGGAAGGAGGCTGAAGGGTGTTTATAGCAGCAGATCTGAACAATTCTCACAGATTGGCTTATAGTGGTAAAAGAAAGGCCGGATGCAAAGTGTAATTAATTAGGGCCCTTGGGCTGGAGGCTTCGGTTTGCAACTAGAAGTATCCTCTACCCAGGGCAGGCTTCATGGGAGTGTGGCATGCAGTCACACAGGACCCCACACTCAGAAAGGCCCTGTGTTCTGCTTAATGCTCTGCTGTCTTGAAATTCTTATTTTTGAATAAGAGGCTGTGCATTTTCATTTTGTCAGGGGTCCTCCAAACTGTGTAGCTGGTCCTGCTCCTACCCTTCCACTTCAAGAGTGGAGATGTGTTTTACTGAGAAAGGGAGTTCAGAGAGAGGCAATGTTGCTAAGCCCCACCCATTCCCAACTGGGGAGCAGAGCAGAGAGGGAGGAGCTTCCCAATACAAGGTGGGGAGCTGGAAGCTGGCCAGAGGCAGTCCAGCCCAGAGGGCTCTGGCAAAGGCAACCAGCTGTAGGCCGTCACAGTGGGTCACTCCTTGGCTCGGCCCTCAGCCTGGCAGCCTTGGGGGACTTTGTGGCCTTGGAGAAGCCCCAAATGAGTGACTTGACTATGGATTTCTCTGCACTTTGAGCATACCCATTCCCAAGTGGGTGCTTGTCAGGAGAGAGCACTCGAGGCTGAGGGGACAGTGAGGAAGGGAACTCAGAAGTAGTCCCCGGACTTCCACACCCCACTGCCACAGTTCTGCTAGTACACGGGGGAGGGATCTTCTCCCAGCTCTTCTGAGGGATGGTTCAGTGAGGGAAATACTCATCAGGGTGTATGGAGGGGATAGAGGCACCCACTGGGATACTCTACACTAGATAATGTTTCAACCTTGATCCCAATGGGTGCTCCCTTGACACCTACAGATCCCTCTATTCACCCCACCTGTAATAGATGCCCCTTGTGTCATGAATCGCATCCCTGGGTGGTGCAAACATTTAACATGATAGGCTGCTAACCGAAAGGTTGGAGGTTTAAGCCTACCCAGAGTGTCCTGGGAAGAAAGGCCTGATGATCTACTTCTAAAAAATCAACCACTGAAAACCTTATGGAGCATAGTTCTACTCTAATACACAGGGGGTCAACATGAGTTGGAATCAGTTTGAGGGTAACTTTTGGGTATGTTGGATCTGTACTTCCTTATACGAGCAGACTCCTCTGGATTCTCAACCAAACAGAATTGTGCATCCTGATTTGACATCTTCAGCCCCTTCCTGGTCTCTGCCCCATTTGGCCTTGAATTAATGTACCGTTTCTAACCCCTCTTTCCTCATACATCTCCAGTTGGCCTTCACTTCCAGCCTGTGCTCCATTCCTGGCTGGAGGACAGGACTGATACCAATAATGCTTGGGTCACCTACAGTGTCATCTTTAAGCCTCAGCTTCTCACACTAAATCACATTCATTCTTTCATCTTTTCCAGTGAAATTTCTCTTTAAACCAAGTTGGAGTCTCCTCTCCAGTTTCACCCTAGCCACTGACCAGACTTGGAAGGAATAAAATTTTCTAGAAGAGTCACAAGTTGCCCTGGGGCTGAAATGATGTTCCGTTCTCCACTACTTCCCCATCTCTGGAGTCTGACAAAAGCCCTCAGGGAGGTGATTTGACAGGGATTGCCCTTTCTCCCCAGCCTCTCAGGGACTCTCCTATGACATTTCTTTTTTCTGTCTCCTTTCCTTGTCATGGGCTCCCTCGGATCTATCTCAGAGTTAGTGTCCACCATGGTCCATCTAACCCAGGGTGGAAGAAGACAGCCCCTTCCAAGTGTCTTGGGTGAATGCCTCAGTAGGAAAACACAGAATGGGGAGGAGCAGAGGAGAAGAGAAGAGAGTGGCCATAGTAGAAGGCAACAGGCATGGGCCGTTAGTGTCTCTGCACATTCTGGCTGGGTCTGTCAAGAAGGTTAGGTCCTGACTGCTCTTCTCCTGTGTCACTTTTCAGAGTTGAGGTTGCAGAAAGCACCCTTAAGAGATGAGGTAATGTCTTCCCCTAGACCAAGAGCAGGTTTGCTTATAGCTCCTTGTAAAAGCAGTGGCTCCCCACGCTCAGTATTCTTTAGCTGCAACACAAACCCAGTTTGTGTCACCCTGGTGAGACTTGGGGGGCAAGGATCATCAATGCAGTATCATGTTCATGCTGCCTGTTGTGCTGAGAAAGTACAGGCCTTTGTCTTTGACCCAGGAGTCTCATCCTTCTGCCGGCATCCATGAAATGCTAGCAGGCCAATGCTACTTGGTAGCTTAGAAAACGGGTAAAATCCCAGGCTCTGAAAATTGCTGCTTTTGCTCCTTTCTTACTGCCTAACCTTCTGGAGAAAAACAGGTCATGAGTACCTCCAACACCCAAACCAATTTCCATCAAGGCAATTCTGACTCACAGTGACCCTATAGGACAGAGTAGAACTGCCCCCTAGGGTTTCCGAGGATGTCATCTTTATGGAAGCAGACTGCCTCATCTTTCTCCTGTGGAGCAGCTGGTGGGTTTGAACCACTGACCTTTCAGTTAGCAGCCAAGTGATAGACCACTGCACCACCAGGGCTCTTCATGAGCACCTAGCTACCTGTTAATAATAATTCGTATTATGATTAGGTTAATAGTCATAATCAACCAATATATAAAGCATCTATAGTTCCAGAGTGAGTTATCATCTAACCCTGTGAAGTGGATATCATTACCTCCATTCCACAAATTAGGAAACTGAGGCTCACCAAGGTGAGGCAACAACCACAGACTTTCAGCCAGTGTGTGCCAGAGCTGGGACTTTGACCCTGGCACCCAGATGTAAATTCTATGTTTCCTTGTCTGCAGTGAGGAGGGTGAGGACAGAGGGAAAAATGGTGAGGCAAGCAGGGAATGGGCAAGATAGACTTTGTTCCAGAGGGTGAGGTGAAGGGAGCGGCACTCTGTGTATAAACCTGAGAGGCCTTTCGGTGCCAGCTGCAATGGAACATCTCTCCCTCTCCCTCCTGCTCTGGCCAGCTTCTCCTTGCCTGACCTGAGGATTTAGTCCTGCTCCTAGCACACTGGGCTCTACTCATTTTCATCCCTTTCCAGAGTCCCCACTTTGTCTCTGGAACTTTCCTTCCTCACCTTTTGCATCCAACTGAATTCTCCTCCCTCCTCTCAGTTCTTTTACGATTTAAGAATAAGCAAATCTGTAGGCATTTCCAAAAGGTGAAGCCAGGCAGCCTGATTTCAACATGTGCCACTTTCACTCTGCAACCATGGGTGGTGATTTAATCCTCCATGTGCAGAATGGAGGTGCTGACAGGGTTGATGTCAGATAAGGCCATGAGGACTGATGAAGTGTTGCAGTGAAGTGCTTAGCACAGAACCTGGTATAGGGCAGTACTCCCCCACCACTGATACCTGTAGCATTATCTTCCCATATCACCAAAAAATTCTGTGCATAACTATTCAAAGGACTCGGAGGGGGCCAGCAAAGGGAGGAGAGATGAGAAGCAGGCAGCTGGTGTACAGTCAAAGGGAAGCATGGGGAAGGACTAGTCCAGCCCAACTGAGAGGTAACACTCACCGCAGAACCATCATGTAGAGGGGGTTGTGGGAGATGCAGGCTATCAGGGCCACAAAGGAGATGAGGAAGATGGCTGGGAGCAGGAAGTGGGCACAAGAGATAGGGCACGACCCCGTCTTTGCTGAACCAGATCCTTTGATCACACAGCTGCAGTTCAAATAGATCTTGGAGAGGAGAGGGAGGAAATAAAGGGAAAATCTGCTGTTAGTATTTCATCTCTGCATACTTCATAGTCTGCATCAGTTCTAGCTAGACAATCTCTGAGGTTTCAACCCCTCTGTCCTCAGGGTCCCCCCTAGGGAGCACCTAGATCCAGGTGATACTAGATGCTAAGGTAGGAGAGGAGAGGAGACCAGGTGAGAGTTTCAAGGTGCCTCTGATTGTATAGAAAGCATCTTCACCAAAACTAGTCATCCCAGGTTGGGTGGGGCTCCTCCAGGAGCTATACCCACATCACAGTGTATGGCCCAGGGCTCTCTTCCAAGCTGTTGTGTTGTTGTTATGTGCCATTGAGTTGGCCCTGACTCATAGCGACCCCTCCTCGGGTTTCCAAGGTGGTATCACTACAGAAGTAGGATTGCCCAACCTTCCTTCCTCTGAGCTAGGCCACCCCATACCCAGCAGCATTGATTTTGTGCGTGCTTTTGCTGTTTGTGTGTTTATTGCAGGGGAAGGTATAAACAGGAGGAGAACACCGATGGAAACACAGTGGAGTCCACTGAGCTCTGAATCTGTCAGGACCCCTGCCTGACAGGAAATCCTCCTGTCTACAAAGGGCTCCAGGGAAGGAGATCTCACTTTCAAATCAGCAAGTCCATATGGATCAACACTGTCATGCAACTTACCTTCATGTCTACTGCCTATGCCTGGTGGGCCTCACTCTTGCTCTTGCGGTGTCCAAAGGCCTAGCCTAAGACCCTTTCAGTGTCATAGGACTTAGGGGTCAGAACTGGAATGAATGAGTTGATATGCTTCCTTCTACCAGATAGTGAGAACTATGTACCCTCTTTACCTTGGCAGCTAGAAAACTCAGGAATAAGTTATGGGCAGTATGGCTGTAATTTCCCTCAGTCTGGGTTTTTATAATATAGATGATTTTCCCTTACATTTTATTATTTTTTCTTGGTATTATGCTAATGTTGGTCTTGAAGTGCTTATGCTGTTATTGGAAGCTTGTCAAGATTATTTCTGGAAGTAGATGAGTAAGAGGTGAGTAAATAAAGATAAGCAAACCACAGAAACCACCACAGACTCCTCCAACTTGAAGGCAACTAAGAGCATCCTGTCCAAGCTCCTTGTCTTCCCTCTGCCTGGGAGCCATGCTCCTTTGCCCACAGAGGTGGCCCTGCTCTGTCCTCTCAGAGGAGGGTAGTAAATGGTACTAGCCTTGTGCATGCTCTCCACACATACATTTCTTAAGGGAATATGATGCATTCCTTTTCTTAGGGTGTCTTTGGGGGAACCCATAGACTTCCCACTGCTCTTAGGAAAAGTAACACCAGCTTCTAAGCCCGGCCTACCCAACTGTTTCCCCTGCCTTCCTCCCTGACCCAAATGGGTGTGGTGTGATACTCCTCCCCACTCATAGCCAACTCTGGCCTTCTCTCTTGTCTCCTGGAGCATCCCGAGTTCATTCATGCCCTGGGGCCTTGCATTTGCTGTTCCCTTTCTCTGGAATGCTTTCCTCCAAGATCTTCAAGGGGTTTCTTCCTCTGATTGTTCAATTCTAATGGTGCCTTCTTAGGGAAGTTTTCCCTGACACCAGTCTCAAGTCCCAGGCACTATCTGCTCCATTGAGCCCTTCTGTGGCCTTTATTGCCAATGTAGTTGATAGAGTGCAAACTCCATGAGAGCAGGAACCTTTCTGATGGGTTCACCACCATGTCCTCAGCACCTATCTGTGCCTGATGCTCATTAAGAATCTATCTGTTCAGTCACTGACAATCAACCCTAATTGGTTTGCTTCTGGCTGACTTTAAACTGTGGGAGCCACAGCGCTCACAGCAGGGATGAGGAGGCCCTCATCAAGTGAGCAGCAGTGAATTGGGCTGCATGAGTAGAGGGTTCATGGCCAGGAGATGCCTGGCCTTGAAGAGAAGAGTGCTGCACTGAGATGGGATTGGGCACTAGTCCCAGGTCTACTCTAAACAGCAGTGACTTCAGGTTGGGTGTGTGGCCTTATCTGGGATCAAATAACCTCTACTCTGGCTCCTGGCTCTAACCTTCAGGTCCACACCATAGAGGCATGCCTTTGCAACATGGTCACCACTCACAAGTCAGAGATGCCCACTAGGATATGTCAGGATGAGGCTTGATGGCCTTGACTGAAGGAGCGCTTTGGCTTGTGTCTGCTCTGAGCATCGCTGAGCCTCAAGCATTTGAATCTATTGGATAGTGGCCAGTCTTTAACTGCCTTTGGGCTGCAGGGATCTGGTCATGACCTTAGGGAAGAGGAGATGGGAGCAGAGGGTGTGGCCCGGAGGAGGCCAGGATGCTGGTATTGAGAGAGAGTGGAGCCCTGCCCATCCCGGAGCCAAGGGACAGTCTGTGAGGGCAGACATTGTGCTTGGGCTCCTCTTGACCCCGAGACCCCAGCTTCCCTCACCATTTTTTTGGAGGCTATAGAACTGAAGTTGATGTGGCTGCAGCCAGCATGGCAAGGGGAGAGGTACTCAATTCCGTTGTCTCCACAGACGGGGTGGAAGAAGGAATCTGGGCACGAGCAGTCCCTGCGGCAGGCGGGAGGCTGTGGATGTATAGAACTTGATGTGCTGCCAGCAAAACAGGAAATGGGGAATCAAACAAAGCAAGACCAAAGAAAAAACTCTATACGCCAACCCAGCGTGAGCTCCGTCCGGGCCTGGTTAATGTGCCTGTGCGTCTTTGTTTGTTTTGGGCTAGTGCCACCCTGGGATCTGAATTATGCCTATTAGAGCCAATGGTGAATTTGTCACTGGCTGGTGGTCATGGCACCTTTCCATTTCTTCCACTACTTGCAGCCCCACCCATCTGCTTCCTGGACCAAACCCAACAACTCTTCAGAAAGGCTGGCTGGCAAATCCCGTCACAGCAGGGGTCAAGACCACCAACCAACCAGGGCTCTAATGAGAGAAATGGCAGATGGGACAGGAAAGTCACAGGCAATAGTTCTTTTCTCTTCTACCTGTGCTCAGGCTAGGGAGAGAGGCCGAGACCCTTTGAGGCAAATCTGCAGTTTAGTTGGCTGCCTGTCTCCTGGGTCTATGCAGACATTGCCCAGGTCACTCAATGCCTCTAAACTCCAATCAGGAGTATTTCATTGTCTGATCTCACGTTTACCACCATCCTCATCTCTGATATTCATGATGTCCTTTGGGAAGAGCTGGGATAGGAAGGGACAAACCACAGTCCAGAACTTTGCTAAAGTAATTATATCAATGTTGTTACTGTTGTTAGTTGGTATTTAGTTGCCTCAGACTTGTGGTGACCTTATGTAAAACAGGACGAAACGGAATTGTTGATGTTTGAATCCATTTTTGCGGCAACATACTAATGATATTTAACATTTACGGGGCATCTCTTACACACCAGGCACTGTGCCGAGAGCTTTTTATGCATGGTCATCACAATTACTCTACAATTAATTATCCTCCTTCTGTGGATGAGAAAACTGAAGCTTAGACAAGTAATTTCCCCTAGCTAATAAAGAGCAGGGCCAGGACTATAATCTAGGCCTGCTGATCACACAGCCCTGTGTTAAACTCCCAGTGAAAGCCATCCAACCCCTGAAAGCTTCTCGGCTTCTCATAATCCATTGCCAACCTACAGAGGAAAGATATGCATTGGAGTGATCTTCTCATCCTGAGCAACCCTCCCTTCTCTCCATCCACCAAAGACAAAGAAGTTATTTCAAAGAGAAAGGCAACACTGAAAGGTATACCATCCCCAAATGCTGCAATCTCATTAGGCAAAATCTAAAAGAAAAAGTTGTTGAAAAGTGGTGGCTGGGAAAAATGAAAATGTTCCTAGCTCAGCATCCTTCTCCCATAGACTTCTGAAGTCCTTCCTGAACTTGAAGCCAGACTTAAAACTTACATCCCGTATTGTTTTATGCAAACTGACAGACAAACTTCACCTGCCCTTTTCTTCACCTGCCATCATTTTCATTGCTCTCCAGATCTTTTCAAGCCTTCCCTCATCTTTCTTCAGTAGCTAAATGAGACTCTAATTCTAGCCAGCACAGAGCTGATGCTAAATATAGCTCACTTCCTCCTTCCTGTGGCTCACAGCCCAAAAGATTTATCCTCAGACTACACTAATCAGTTTTTGGTGTTTCTTAAAAAACAGAATAACTGAATACCAGGAAGCTTTGATGTCTTCTTATAATCGAGTGACTATTAGGGATTTTATTTTCTAAATTGCTATGTGAGACATTAGGTTAAAAACTGAAAAGGAGATGAAAGAGTTGAGGAAGCAGGAAGGATGCCATGTGGCAGCCAGACCCAGGCTCTGGCCTCAGTAACGGGTACCTCTGTACTCCTCATTCCTATTACCTGGGGGAGTAGACCTCTTCCACAGCTGGGGTGGAGCATCCCATGAAGAAGAGAGGGGTAGAGAGGATAATGGAGATGATGATGATGGTGGCGGCCACACGGGGGATGGTTTGCAGGGAGAAAACAAAACGTTTCATGAGGATTCCTCCAAACAGCATCCCTAAGGCTGCAGCAGGAAGGTTCACAGCACCTGGGGATAAAGAGAAAGAGCAGGTCTCAGTGCACAGACCTGGGCCTACGTGTGGGCCACAGACACCAAGCTGAACAGTGGAGAGGGGGCTCTGCTTCAGGAATAAACATTTGATATGTTAAATAACAGTAGCAATACTCATTGCCACTGAGTTGAATTCCAACTCATGGTGACCCTTGTAATGTTGTTGTTGTTGTTGCTATTTGCTGTCGAGTCGCCCCCGACTCATAGCGACCCCTCCTTGGGTTTCCGAGGCAGTATCACTGCAGAAGTAGGATTGCCCGACCTTCCTTCCGAGGAGTGGCTGGTGGGTTTGAACTGCCAGCCTTCTGGTTAGCAGTCAAGTGCCTTAGGCACTATGCTACCAGAGCTCCTGACCCTTGTAATAGCTATAAAAAAAACCTCCAAAACCAAGCTCACAGCCGTTGAATCAATTTCTACTTACAGTGACCCCTCCTTGGGTTTCTGAGGCTGTATCTCTATGGAAGTAGATTGCCCAATCTTCCTTCCAAGGAGTGGCTGGTGGGTTTGAACCACCAGCCTTCTGGTTAGCAGTCAAATGCCTTAAGCACTACATCACCATACTCAAAAACTCACTGCCGTCAAATCGAATCTGACTAATAGCGACCCTCCTTGGATTTCTGAGGCAGTATTACTATGGAAGTAGATTGTCCAATCTTCCTTCTGAGGAGTGGCTGTTGAGTTTGAACCACCAGCCTTCTGGTTAGCAGTCAGATGCCTTAGGCACTACATCACCATAGCCAACATTTATTGAGTGCATACAGTTTGCCAGTCACTATTCTAAGTTCACATGACAGAATTATCTTGACGTGGAGAATTGCCCTGTCTGTGCAAAGAATACAGAAAGAAGAAATAAGGTTAGCAGATTATGAGTTGAATGTGCATTTATGAAGCACCTTCATTGCCTCGACCCTCATTGCATCCTCACTGACCACATGGGGTTGGCAAGGCAAGAGTGACAACCCCCCCCGCCGTGTGTGTCAATGGGGAACTGAAGGCCAGAGGGGTGAAATATAGCCCAGGGCCACATGGGAGGTCCCTGCCCACTCTGACTGCCCACGTAGGCTTCCATACAGGAGGTGGCAGAATGCTATTGCTCCTGAGAAGCCAGGGAATCTGATCTCATGGCCTGTTTTCTGCAGAAGGAAGGTCTTTGAGCCTGTCAGGGGACTGAAGAGTCCTCACTGGAGGGACAGGAAAGATAAATAAGGAGGCTTCTTCACTTTCAAAACATCATTCCTGGGATCTTGTGGCTCAGAGACCTAACTCAGCTGTCAGGGTTGTACCCTAGGCCTGTCTAGTCGAGGACTTGGGCAAACTCCCAGGAACTCCTGGGGAAAGTTGGCTGCAGGGCTCAGAAGTACGGTTCACACCGAAAAAAATCATGAGGTGAATGAAGCCAGGGCCATGTTGCTGGGCTGGAGGTTAGAAGCCCCCAAGGTACTCCCAGGGCTGGGGCAGAGGCTGAGGGTACCAGGGAGACTCTGTACTTGCTCCGCAAATGACTTAGCCCCCAAACCAACCAATAGTCTTTTCTCCATTTTGTAAAAGTAACTTTTTACTTATGTTACATAAGTCAGGAAATGCACAGGAAAACTATAGGAGGGCCCACACTTGACCCTTGACCATGACTATCTTTAGTGGAATGTTGAGGGAACTTTCAGTTCCTGGTTTTTAGACTTCTGTATCATTTCAATTTCTTACACAAGCCTGTCTTTTTATAAGCTTAAAAAAAAAGTTCATTGTTCATGTTTGAAAAGATTAGCATATACTTCAAGTGTGCCCCACCTCCTTAATTAGACTGGAAACAGTACCTGGGACATACCAGTATTGGTTGCCCTTGAGTCGACTCAGACTCATGATGAACCCACGTGAGTCAGAGTAGAAGTGTTCTCAATAGGGTTTTCAGTGCCTTGTCTCTTGGAAATAGATCTTCCAAGATGTCTCTGGATGGACTTGAACCTCCAACTTTTCAGGTTGAGTGCATTAACTGTTTGCACAACCCAGGGACTCCATCTGGGACATAGCAGGACCTCAAAACATACAGGTTGAATGAAAGGAATCTTCCTGAAGACAGAAGGCACATATTTCCCCCTTGGATCTCCTCTTAGCCACTAGAATAGCAAAACAAGTTTATAGGCAAGAGGGAAGGAGGAAAGGTAGGTGGTCTTGTGGGGGCTGGATGGGGTTGAGGGACTGGTGGGTATGGGAACCCAGAGTTAAATGTAAAGAAGATTCTGTGCAGGGGTGATGGGGGAGCCAACAGCCAGGACTCCATCCATTCAAAGACTGATGGACGGCAAGCCTCAGAACTGCCCTGTGACTGTACATGAGTGTGGGCCTGGCGAAGCCCACATTGCTCCTCCTGGTTCCTCACAGTAGAGGGGCCATTCTGGTTGGAAGCTGATGAACTCCAGGATGGGCTCCCACCTCAGGATCCTGGGAAGGTTGACTGAAGCCCATGGGTGAATAACAATGTTATGCTAAGTATCTGAATCCCAGGTGCTCTTATAGGGGCTTGCTTAGAAAGGACTCCACAGTAATTTCACCAACTGGCTAGTGGGACTTAGCAGCTGAGCCCTGAGAATGGAGCCTCACTTTTCAGGGGGATATAGAATATGACCACACACCAATGTGATCAAGCTCACTTATGGACTAGGCCCCACATTTGGGTGCTTGATGGGACCACATGAGTGATTCTCATTCCCAGCCATAAAAACCAGAGATTCTGGTTTCAGCGATCTAGGGTGGGGCTTAGGTATCTGTATTTTTAGAAGCTCTCTAGGAGAGCCTAAGTCCCTGGGTGGTGCAAACAGTTAAGCTCTTGGCTACTAACTGAGAGGTGGCAATTTTAATTCACCCACAAGAGCCTCAGAAGAAAAGCATGGTGATCCATTTCTGAAAGATCAGTCATTGAAACTGTATGAGCACAGTTCTATTCTACTTTGACACACACGGATCACCATGAGTCAGAATCTACTTGATGGCAACTAGCTTTTTTGTTTGTTTGTTTTGTTTAGGGTTGAGAATTACTGGGCCACACACTCTGTTACCCAAGCAGATGTATTACAGTCCCTGGAGAAGAAGGCACTTGCCTAAACCCAGATTCCATCTCCCTCTTTCCTCTGTTGCCCTTATGATGTCAGGGCCTTTGGGAGGCTGTCTTCCAGTCCCTCCAACAAGAAGGAAGGCAGGCCCCAGTCTCCACCCATGCAGGAAAAGGAAACCTTTAGATTACCTTTTGACTGGAAAGATAGGCCTAGAAATCTGCCAAGAATGTTCTGGATTGCCAATCAGGAAAAATGTCTTTAAAAGTTTTTCTCCGAGGCAAGTCCTCCTTCGGCTCCTGTCTGTGTCTGGTCTGGTCTTCACACCCCACCCTCCACACCTGACTCCCTGATGGATGACCAAAGTGCCCAGGCCCTTCTTCAGGCAGAGAGACCTGGCTCCTGCTGCACCCCCCTCACTCACCAATGAGGAAGTTGGCATAGGCCGCGGAGGCGCCATACTGCTTCTCCAGGAACTTGTTGAGGAATGTGGAAAGACCGGCAATTACGGAGGAGAAGGTGCACTGGGCCAGGACCACCAGCATGAAGAGCGGGTTCATTAGGAGCCTTAGGAAGATTCGGGGGAACCCTGCAAAGAGACTGCCATCAGGAGCCGGGTCTTCAGGGAAGACTGTCACAAGGGTACTGTGAGCCTGGCCACAGGAAATGCGGGCCCTTCCCTCCTCCTTCCAGGAAATTCTCTTCTCTTCCTTAGGGGAGAAACCAAGACATCAAAAAGTTCAGTGGCCAGCTCAGCAGCACACAGCCACTCAGACTCCCAGTCAGTATGATCATGGGCTAAATAGGATTAGGATGTGACTAAAAGAAACCAGGTGACAGGTACATCAAAATAGAACTAAACACTGGAAACAGTTTCTTCATATAACAACTCCCTGTTAGGGAGAGGAATATGGGGGCCAGGCCATGGGTTAGGAGGTGGGGCTGACTCTGTCTGGAGATCTGGGTTTGAATTCAGGTCTTGTGGCATCTGCAAAGAAACAGAGTCACCAGGACCCCTGGCAGAACCCTTCCTGAGCTACAGGAACACCTGGGGGTTAGGGGCCAATTGCAGACCATCTGCTGTCTCTAACCACACACTATCACTTGGGTTTGGGTACCCCTGGTCACTGCCCCACTTTGAGCCAGCCCACCCAGTCAATTACGTTTAATGAAATCCACCAGGGAGCCTCCTGACTGGACCTCTTCTATCTTCCTTGTCTCATCCACCATGGAAGAAGACCTCTGAAGGCAGAAAAGGGAATGAGTGTTAATGTCCCCAGCTCCTATAGTTACCCTTCCCTGGGCCCTCAACCCTTCTGGTCTTTGTGGTTATGGGCTAGACAGCTGTGAGCTTCCCAGGTGTGGACGTGGGAAGGCAATCAGAGGATGTTTTCTTGAAGCAAACACTGCCTACATTTCAGTGAGCCCAGTGCTTTGGCTGACAACCAGCACACATCCATGCCAAAATTCCCACAGGCCTATTAATTCATATCCAATTTGCCCATGATTGATGCCAAAACGTGTCTTACTATTTCTCACCCCTTGTTTGTCTGTCATGACTACACTTCTCTGTCTTCCTTGGATTCCAGGAGGCACTGGCTTCTTGGACACTCTGGTCCAGAAGGTCCTCTTTTTCCAGCACCCCCTTTCTGTCTCCTCTGTGGGGTCCTGCCTCTTCCTGGCTTAAAGTTGAGTCCTGCTTAAGACTCTTATACTGGCCCTTTGCCCGTACTTCCTGTGCATCTACCTTGGTGAACACTTACCTACCTCGGGTAAACTCATCCACTGCAGCCTGAGCCCCTCAGATCTGAATCACCAGCAAAAAATATAAGACCCCTGTGCTCTGACACCATTTGGACCCTCTAGGGGAACTCTTTTCCAGGAACAGGAGCTCTCTTTATTGAGTGCTCGATGCTGGGCACTGTGCCTCGTGGTCCGCATGCATTGTCTAATTCCTCCCAACCTCCAAGATAGATACTCTAATAATCTTTAGTATTTTAAAGACAACAACATTTAGGAACAATGAAACTTGTCTAAATCACTCAGCTAGTTTGTAAGTAATAGAGGTGCATTCAAAACCAAGTCTGCCTAACCCCAAACCACTAAGACATATTGCCAATTTCTTAAGTTCTTATCCCTGCCCCTCCTCCCATGGCTGGGCCCTCATTTCATACATCTCATTACTAGAGTTCAATCCTTGACTCAAAATCTTGGCAAAGGCACAAACAGTTGAGTGCTAGACTACTGATGGAAGGGTTGGCGGTCCAACTCTACCTAGAACTGCCTCAGAAGAAAGGCCTGGCAACCTGCTTCCAACCTTACAGAGCAGTTCTACTCTGTGACACATGAGGTGATTATGAGTTGGAATCGACTCAACAGCAACCATTTTTTGGTTTTGATCACCATTGTAACTCACTGCTGGGTACTTCTTTGCACGCTTTCTAAGAATGTTTATCCTTGCCCTGACCTCAGCTCCTTGACAGCCACTTCCCTAGTCCTCATCTCTCCCCTGAGCCTCTACACTGTCCTGTCTCATATTTCCAGCCTTCATTCCTTCTTGACACCCTACTTCAACCTTGCCACTACATTGCCACCCAAGTGGCTTCCCAGACCACTGCTGGGTCCCAGGATTTCATGGGATTAGAGCAAGTTTTAGACCCTTCACCCTAGCATCAAGTTTTCCCATTCCAACTTCTCATCCTTCCCTGATTTCTTTCCCCACAGCTATAACTGGAAGAAGCATGAAGTCACTCTGTTCACAGTATGTTTCATTCTCATCTCACCCTCTCGTTTTTCAGTGCTAGGAATCTTTTTCTTACTCAGTCCTTCAGATTCAGATATCAAACTCACTGCCATTGAGTTGGTTCTGACTCACAGCGAGCCCTCCTTGGGTTTCCGAGGGAAGTAGATTGCCCAGTCTTCTTCCGAGGAGTGCGTGGTGGGTTTGAACCGCCAGCCTTCTGGTTAGCAGTCAAATGTCTTAGGCATTACGCCACCAGAGCTCCTCCCAGGTATCAATGGGCTCTGTTAAATGCAAAAGTCAACTGCACCAGGTCACATACTCAGCTTTTGCTTTTAACTCTTTATCCCAATTTAGATGAACTCAGAGGTTTCCTGGAACTTCCTGATTCTTGAGATGTTAACAAGGTAAAGAAACACTGATGAGATACCAAATTTAGGGAATTTATCAGCACTCATACCTCTCAAGGCCTCTATGAAGCCCTGAATCCATGAAACTTGTTTGGATTTTACCCTGAATTTGCCTAACTTGCTACAGAATCTTAGTTCTGATTATATTCTACTTTTCCCTTTCTTAAACTCATATAGGTGGAGCTACAGGCTCTGAAAACGTTACCTCCACTCCTCTGGACATTGTTCGAGGAAAGAAAAAAAAAGGGAAAGAGATGACAACCAAGGAGGCAGAAGAAATGAGCAGGCCCAGCCACCAGGCTCCAATCCATCGAGGGTCTCCAGGGCTCAAGTTAACTGTGGCTGTAGAGAAACCAAAGAACATGGGTGTTTGTTGGATGAATGCATGAGCTTACTGGAAAGAGACCCTCTGATCAGGGGAAGTTTCATTAGCTTTTTGCCCATGGTGGACAAGAGGTAAGCCATGAACTACGTAGAACCTTAGGCAAACACCACGATAGTCTAGTCCTGCCAGAGAGCCAAAGCCACTTACTACATATAGAAGGTTAAAAAAACCCCTCACACTGAAGCGACCAGAACTTTTACTTCAACTTAGTTCATCTCTAACTCTAGGCAGGAATAATGATGAAGGCAGCTGACTCTCTTGAGGGCTTCCCATGGGCCAGACGCTAGACCATGTGCTTTACATGTGTTGTCCTACTGAGTTCTCCTAGCAAGGAAGTCTATCCACTTCTAACCAATCAGGAAACTGAGGATCAGAGTGAGTAAGTTTCTTATTCAAGGTTAAGGCTTCTAAGTGCTATTTTCATTGGTCAGTTTCAAACCAATGGGTCTTTCAAGTACCCAAATCTGCACTCTTGACCACTGAACTCTCCAGCCATCCAACTTTATCAACCCCTAAAAAAGGAGGCCCCAGAACTCTCTGGGGCCTAAGCAAACAGTCATCAGCAGTGTGGTGTCTGAAGAGGAAGCTTTCTCCTGGCAATTCTCCCTGCCCATGTCTCAGAAGTCTGCTGTAGTGTTTCTCGATGTAAAGAAATTGCACAAAGAGAGAGAGAAGGTGGCAGAATGGTCCACAGTCAAACAACGACAGGTAATCCTTGGCAGTTTCTGGTCTCTTAGGGCAACCAAGAGCCACCAGTCAACTCAGGAAGGATGGCCTAGCTCTGAGGCAGGAAAACTTTCCCTCGCTTTCCACTTCCATTTTCAGCAGATGACATTGTGCAGATGATGAGGTCTGACATCCCAGGACAGGAATCTGTAGGCTCTGGCAGCATGGCTGAGTTTCACACCCACCCAAATTTCTTGAGAAATTCTTGACCAGAAGGCTCTGATATGTGGCCAGCACAAGTGGGGGTGCCATTCCTAAGATTCTGGCTCAGACCTGCCTTCCAGCTGCACCTTCCGGCAAATGGGAACCCTACATGCCACCCACACACTCCCCACGCTTTCCACTTTCTTGGCTTTGTTCAGGTGGTTTCCTCCACCTGGGAATACCTTCACCCCATGGCAACCTACTGAAATCACACTCATCTTCCATGACTCCATTCAGACATCACCTCTCCAGGAAGCCCTCCAACTTCCAAAGCACTTTTCCAGGCCTTCTGTTAAGGCACTGACTCTTCTTGCCTATGGGCAGCTGGGTATGTGGACAACAAGCATATAGAGACAATATGGCTGCTGCAGTTCTGCTCTACCCTATAGGGTCTTTATAAGTTGGAATCAACTCAACAACAATGGTTTTGGTTTGGGATTCATTCTGTGGCTGGCTTCTTGAATGACTAAGTACTTGTGGCTTTGTCCCTGGTCTGTATTTTCTCACTCTAAGATACATAGTGATTTATTCCATACCACGTTTTGAAGAATAAGAGCTCTCACCTAGTAACCTCTTAATATGTAACAGGCATGTTCTAAACTTCACAAGTCTATGTGACTAGCATTAGCCCCATTTTACTGATGAGGAAACTAAGCATAGAAAGATG